CTGACCCCAAGGCAGTGGATCAGAGGTCGTCATCCATACATCCACTCAAGCATGTTTTACTCTATGTCAGACCCAGTGTTGATCAGTGATGGGGATGTATAGATGACTCAGGAGGAGCCTCAGATTTGATGATTGCCCATCTTCTTACCCATTTGGGGCAGTTACACTTCACTGAGGCAGTTGCTCTAGCAAGAGTTGAGTGAAGTAAGAGGGAGTCAAGAGGGCACGGAGTCAGAGCCGAGGCTGGAGGGATTAAGGAGGCTTTCCTGGGTCAGGACAGACCAAAGAGGACAGCAGGCAGATGGATCAGGAAGTGGAATGATGGAGAGGGAGGTAGGAGAGGCAGAGACGTTTGGGTGAGCACACAGTTCATCTTTTTATCTTTCCTGTTTTCTGAGATAGGGTCTCACTATGTAGCCCAGGTTGACTGTGAACTGTAGATCCTCCTGCCTCCGTTTTCTGAGTACTGGGATTGAAGGTGTATATTGCCACGCCTGGCCTACAGAGTTCATCTTCACTGAGGTTGGGCATGAGCCATTAGGTGGGGAGTAAGAGTGTTGGGGGAGGACCTAGGGAGGAGGTGGGAGAAGAAAGTTGAAGATGGAGGTCTTGAATGTAGGCTGGGGAGTAAGTGGCCCTAGGTCTGTGAAATGGTTTAAGCAGGGCAGCAATGGGCTACTTTGGGAGAGAGAAGCTCATTCCAGAAGGCAATCAAAGGAAGAGCCAAGGACCTATTATAGTTGCCACAGGTTGGGGGATGGGAGGTAATGAACTTGAATCTTGACCTGCAGCTCAGCGGAAGCTCAGTGTTTAGGGAACAGCCTAAACAGGAAGTGTGAGTGGGTTTGTCCTTGCCAGCTTCCTTCCTGAGCTGAGCTACCTGCCCAGACTGAGCCTGCTTAGGGCTCCCAAGGCCTAGGCACAGGACAACATAGGGCAAACATAGGCCTTAGCTGCCCCTGGGGGCTGCGCTGAGATGCCCTGTCAGAACAGCTGGAGAAGTCCCAGGTCCTTTTTCTCTGGGGTCTGAAACCCTTCCCAAGCCTCCACCCAACCTCCTTCTGATGCAGGCTGAGACTTTTCTTGTTTCTCATGTTTATTGAAAACAGTGGTTTATGGTTACACATTTTGCTTCCCTTGCTGGGGGAGCTCATAATCATGGTTTGCTGGAAGAGGGGTAGGAAGAGGAAGTAGATGATCACTCAGGAAGCCATCAATGAAACTCAGAAGTGTCTTCTCTGGGGAGATGCTGTGGCCAGACTCGAGGGTTATGTGAACTTGGGAAAGGTAGAATTCTTGGGGCTCCAGCCTAGCGCATTGATGCTCCTAGCCCCAGCCCTCTCTGCACAGGCATCCTGTGTGCAGGAGCTTCTGTCAGTGCCTGTGCTATAAGCAAGTTCCAGCTGAGGCAAGGCTGTCGGGCCCAGAGGGCCCTAGAAAGCTCCAGGCCAAGTGGGGTCTCATTTAAGCAGTGGCTGAGCCAGCTGCACATTTGGTTAATGGCCGTCGTCCTGGGAACCTTGCTAATCAGGAAGCTGCAGTTTCGAGGCTCAACTGATTCTTCCCTGACTGGCTTTGAGGGAAGATGGACTGGGCCTGGGCTGAGCAGGCAAGGCCAGCCTGCTGCTGCTGAACTGCCCCAACCCTTAATATTGTGAATAGGAGGCGTGGCATGGTGACACACATCTGTAATCCTAGCACACTGGAGGTAGGGGTGGGGTGAAGTGCTGAGGCAGGAGAATATAAGTTCCAGACCAGCCTGGGTTACATAGTGAATACCTCTCTCAAGAAACAAAATGGGAATTTTATAGGGGTAGGAGGAGGCAAGGTAGTTTGAGGAGATGAGAATAGTCAGAATGCATTGTATACGTGTACAACATATCAAAGAACAGAATGGATAAAGAGAAAAACAAAACAGAACCATCCAAAAAAAACCAAAAAGCAGGATCATCCTGCCTACCTCACTCATCAGTCTCATCACTCATCAGTCTCCTGGCCCAGGGTTTGCTGCAGGGAAACCAAGTTTGCAGGCAACAATGGCCAGTCTCAGCACTCCTTGCAAGCAGTCCCTTCTCTGCTCACATCCCACCCACCCTCTGCCTCTGACCAACAGCCTCCTCTGCTTCAGTGATTACCCTTCCCTCCCAGGAAGCCCCAACCTGGAGATCCCAAGAGGGAGGGGCAGAGGGAAGCCTCCATCAGAAGTGGGGTCAGCATCTGCCAAGTGGTTGAGCTCCCCTGAGCCTCTATCTCCTTATCTGTGAGGGGGTCTGCTTTGCACAGGTATAAACTGTAGTGATTTCATGTGTGGGGAACACTAGGTTTTAAGTATCTGTACTCCCAGGTACAGCCTGACCAGTTTGCACAGCCATGGCCATAATCCTGACTGGCTATGAGATCCCAAGGCTTGGTTCTGACCTCTTTACTAACACTCCCTTCTCCTAATCTATGAACAGCCTGTGCATCAGTATCTCAAGGTCATGGGCCTCCTGGCTCCTCTTGCCCAGTAAGCTGCATCTCAAGCCATTAAGCTATTTCCCCCAAGCTCAAAGCTTGGTTTGTGGTAACCAGAGCACTGAATAGGACCAGGACCTCATAAATGGTCCAGGTGTAGAACTGCTGTGGCCTAAGGCGAGGACGAGGTGGTAAATCAGACTGGGTCTGTGTTTCCTTACCGGGCTGTCTTTCCTCCCCAGGGTCTGCCACATAGTAAGTGCCCAAGAAATGCCATGGCATTTTTGTTATAGTCAGGACTGTGACCAGTGTTCCGAAGTACCCCGAGTTTGGGCTTAATTACCTGTTTCCAGTTCTGAATTGTTTTATCTCCACATTTGTGTTTTGTGACTGAAGTCTGACAGACCAGGTACCTGGGACTGGGACTTAGTCACATGTGGTCCTGCTCTGCAGTGCCTCCTAAGATGGGTGCTTGCCTTCCTCAACCCCACCTTGCTGCCCTGTCTCACCCTGCCTTCCTTCCAACAGGAGCTCTGGGCAGAGGTAGAATTGGGGACAGGTGTTCCCACCCTGCTATGTCTCCCTGGGCTGGCAGTGCCACAGAATATTCTGAAGGTGGCTTGGGGAGCAAACCATTTCCCATCCTATCTAGGAAGCCAGTTCTCGCTTCCTAGAGGGTGAGAATTCTTGTCTGTCCTGGATGGAGGTAACAGGTGCATGGGAGGGCAAGCACATCACTCTACTCAGCTCTCTGTCATGGCACAGCATGAGGCCCAGGGGCTGGTGATAGCTAGTGATGGGGGACATGAGGGCTGGTGGGCCCCCAGTGTGTGTGCCAAGTCAGGGAATGAGGAGTCCAAGGCCCCTGAGAGTCAGACTCAAGTGTCCTTGGGTAAGAGAACATACATTTGCATTTGGTAGCCCCAGGTTGGAAAAGTCCTCAGAACAAAGGCAACACTAGAGCAACTTCCCCGACTCTCTGGACCAGGCCTTGGCCTTTCCCTTTGCATTGACTCAGCTAATAATGTAGCTAGGTTTGGGTACACTAGAAACAGCAAGAGCTTGGGATTTCGGAGACATTGCCAACATCACTGCCCCAGTGATATAAATGGCTTAGCTTTTATATTATACCTATTATATTAATATAAATGGGCTTCCTGCCCAGGGCCGCCTTTTTCCACACCTTGCCTTCCCTGGACCTGGCATGCCAAGGGCATGGTGTTCCTGACCTCTTGCAATATCAAGGTCTTTTCTTTTCTTATGGAAGCTTCTTGGGGCCCTAGATGGGGATGGTCTGCCCCTCTCCCTCCCATCCATCATGGCTGACTGAAGTCAGTGCCATAGTGCTCCGAGCAGAAGTGTTCTTGCCCTGTTCTCACCTTGATCCTCATCCCTGTATCACGCACAGGCCCTGGCACTGTGTATGGGAAGTAGAATATGTTTTAGAAGGTGTGGTCTAATTTCTGTGCTAGGTTCCCATTCTGCTGGTGGCAATGCACCTAGGTTCTGTGACTTCAAGTGGTGCCCAGGCATGATGCCTGTCACTGGTCTCTGTGTCTGACACTGGGTTTTGCCTGGTTTCTGTCTGTATCTGGGAGACAGACTAGGATCCGTCCAGGTGACACAAACCATGAAGGCAGTGGTCACAGGCTGTAGAAATGGCTCTGGGATCAGGTGAATGGCATCTTGGATTGCATATGTGGAGTCAGGCATTTTCTGGATGGCACTGCCCTAGCATCCTGTGGAGGTGGGGCAGGAAAGTGAGGAGGTAGCCTCCCTTGGTGCCCTGGAACCCTTCCTCAGAGGATTGGGGTTACTACAGACACATTTTGGGGGACAACTCAGCGTCACTGGTCATGGAGAGTGTGAGGTGTCTGAGAAGTTGTCCACAGAAACGGGTGGGGTGGGAGAACGGTGATGGCAGGAACCACAAATCAAGAACTGAGGAGAAAGCTAGGCACGGTGGCACATGAGTTTAATCTTACCACCAGGAGGCAGAGGCAGATGAATTGCTGTGAGATCTAGGCCAGTCTCGTCTGCATGGTGAGTTCCAGCCCTGTTGAGGATACAGGGAGACCCTGACTCAAAAAGACCAAAACAAAACCAAACAAATGAACAAACATAAAAAAACAAAAACCGAGGAGAGAGGTCTGGGCTGGAGAGAGGCCGCTGTTGCCTGAACACAGTGCCCAGTACTGACTCTCATAAGACAGGGTGCGGAGGGAAGGAAGGCAGCACCTGTCAGCAGCTCCTTCACAAAATGGGAGAGGAGAGGAGCCAGCAAAGATGGCCCCGAGGAGGTCAAGGGCATCTCTGAGAACCCAGCCCAGCACTCTGCAATGATGTTGTGTGGGCTCAGCCCTGAGTTTTACACAAAGGCCAAGAGCTAATTCTGGTAGATAGGGCAGGGTGGGAAACATGGGTGATACTTCTGCCACCTCTGGCTGTACTGCGATATAGGCAGCTGCCAGCAGGTCCTCCAGGAAGCACGGAGTCAGAGCAGAAGAATAGGGATCCAACTGCTCATGTCTCTCTTGTTTCCACAGGAGAAGGAGCCACAGCGTGCACATCCAGCATCCTGCAGGAGAAACAGCGTGAGTTAGCCTGGCCCTATAGAGCCTTTCTTTCCCTTAGATGGGTGAAGCCCCTGGATCTGGTCCCCTCTCATCCTCTCCCCTCAGAGGCCAGAGAGTGGTAGGATCTTCCCAGATCCTCTTTCCTCCAACAGCCAGGCAGAGGCAGAGGGCCTGGGGTCACTCAGCCTGGGATGGGGTTCCCGTCACCCACATTGGTCAGTTCCCATCTCAGAGCCAAAGTGAGAGTGTAAGGCTGATGGTCCTGGTAGGGGATGGGGAAGAACAGACAAGCCCACTGACCACTGAAAGTCTGGTGCCTTTGTCTTCACATGGACAGGGAAGGGGAGGGACTGGGGAGTCAGCCTTCTTGATCCTTTGTGACCCTCATGTTTGAATACCAGCTTGCAGGAGGTCCTATGGTGACTGAGGTAGGAGTGAATGAGGTGGTTCAAGGCTGTGCCCCAGAACACAGTCCTTTTTAAAAAATTACTTTTACTTTCCATTTACTATTATTGTGTATGTCATGTGTGTGTGTAAGTATGGGTACACTATGGAGGTCAGAGGACAACCTGACGTTGGTTCTCTCCTTCCACCATGAGTTCTAGGGATCGAACTTTCATGGCAAGTGCTTTTACCCGCTGAGCCATCTCATTGACCCTGGTCATGGTCTTTAAAATCACTTTACAAAGAGGCCACCTCTGCAGTCTGCAGCCTTGGGGTTGGGTTCTGGATTTGCTGACCTTTTCATTTTTGTGTGTGTCATACCAGCCTCCCAGGATTCCTTATGCCAGTTTTCTTAGCCAGATAGGCACAGGATTGGATGCAGGAAAGATGTGCTAAGATCCCTCCAGTGTACTGGCCAAATCTTCCAAAGACACAGTAGGTAGTGGCTGTGCCTGTAACAGGTCTTGTCTTTGCTGTGAGTGGTATTGACTTCCATATGAGACTTGGGCTGGGGATAAGGCTCAGAACTCCCCTTCCTTCTCCCACCTGCTATTCAGATCATGGGTGCAGCTTTGGGGGCTCAGACCACTCTGCCCACCACCTCTCCAGGTCCCAGCCACAGGCCTTCCTTCAAACCCTCTCCTTCTCTCCTACTAAGCTTCGGTGGAGGGTACAGCCACACCAGCACCCATGACCTGTGATCTAGTCTGAGCAGCTGCACAGGCCTCCAGCATGGTTTTCCTGGTTCCTGAACAGTCAAAGTTGCCGCTGTGCAAGAGGAGGGACGGGGACAGGAAGAAAGGGGAGTTCAAATTGTACCTGTATGATTTTAATTTATTTACAGTATAGAGATGACTTAGTGATGACAGACAGACTAAGGCCATTAACAGAAAAACTGGCTACAAACTTTGTAGCTTTTGTAGGGAAGGAGGGCAGTGGAACAGCTCAAGACTGGTGGTTTGAATAACATCAGGGGGCTCTGGCTCTTTTGGTCTCCAGTTGTCTGGCACTTGGCCTGTTAGCCAGAATAAGTGGGCTGGGTTGGATTGGAAAGGTATGTTTATGGGCAAGTTTGGTTTCTATAGGAAGGAAGTAGTCAGTGAAGGAGGGCTGGCCTCTCCCTAACCAGGAAGGCCCCCAAAATAATCAACCATCAGGAGATAAAGAAGCAATATAAATACTCAGGGAAGGAAAATAGACTATTCATGTTGGACTTTCTTATTGTTATTTATTTATTTTGGAGACAGAGTCTCATTGTATAGCCCAGACTGACCCCTAACTTTTGGCAATCCTTCTGCCTCAGCCTCCCAAGTGCTGGGATTACAGGTATATGTCACTATGCCTTGCTATTACTGGGTTTTCATCAGCAACTTGGAAATGAAAGCTAACCACCTGCCATAGGCTGTCTCCAGGAGGCCAACTGCAGGTGCCTTTCCCATGCCACCCCCCAACAGAATTGGATTGACAGGATGCTGTGTCTCCTGTGCTACACTGAAAAAAAAATGCATTTGAGTAGCGGCATAGTCTTTTATATTGTGGTTATACATTTTGGTCAAAATTATATTGCTGAAAGCTGTCATCACATCCTGCTCCTTGAGGATATTTTACGTAGGAAGAAATAACAGTTGATGTGCGGAAGAGTTTTAGAGCCATAAGCACTGTGTCTTGGAGGCTGTCTGGGTTAAGCCTACCCAAATCTAAACCCGGCAGGGAGGAAACCTACCCTTTTTGTGATGGTGAATGTCTTCACATGAGAGCATTGCTTTTCACATAATTCTATAATTATGTCCTGCCTACAAGTTTTGGCATTAAAATTATTTTTCTTTTATGAGATGATGGTGGTAATTGATGGTAATTTGTTTGTTTACTTTTAATCTAAAATAAAAGTTTGTGGCCTGAATTTAAAAAGTTTACCCACACCTTAATTTAGAATATTTCCCACTGACAGTGCACGTTTATGCATTTTCTTTATTGACTTATTTCCACTGGGTGTTTGAAAGCACTCTGAAAACAAGATATTAATCTGGGCCAGAAATTAAACCCTCTACCCCCTGGGACTTTGGTGTAAAGTCTGGGCCTTCAAGGAAGGTCTAGGTGTGAAGCTCAGTGTTTCTATTTAGTTACTGAGATTCTTTGGGCAAGATGCTTAGCATCTCTGAGCATACATATATAGTTGTGGAAAGATGGCCACACTCTCTGCTTCCCAGAGCTGCTGAGGGTATTGGAGAGCACCCTCATGGTTCTGTAGCAGGTGCATAGGAAGTGATTTGCAGCTCTCACTTACAACTGGCATATAGGTAAGCCTTGACAACCGGAACTCCTGAGGCAGATGTGAGGGGTGCACCTTGTCATTTTGTGGAGTGGATCCTGTGGCTGCCTTAGTTACCAAGGTAAAGTACCATGTGATGTGTCCCTCACAGGGTCATGTAAAGAAGGCTTGCTCTTCAGCTGGAGGGTCCACTCACTGAGAAGTAATAGATTAATAATTAGATGGTTTTATATTCACAACTAGACATTGGGAGGTGGGACCTGGTAGAGAGAGTAGGTTCCTGGGGTCATGTTCTTGGGGGATATCTTGTTCCTAGCTCCTTCCTTTGCCTCTCTGCTTCCTGGCTGCCTCAAGATGAACAGCTTTGCTCCTTCACAGCCTTCCACCATGAGGTTCACTACATCCCAGACATAACTGAGCCTACTGAAAGTAGAATGAAACCTGAGCCAAAACAAATCCTTCTCTGTGGCATTTGTTCACAGTGATGAAAGAGCTAACTAGTGTGAGGGCTGGACCTTATTCTTGCTGGCTCTGGAGCTCATGTGTTCAGCACTCCTTCCTCTTTTGTGGCTTCCACAAAGCCCCCACCTTCATCTGCCATTGGACAGATGGCTGGAGGCCCATGGTCACTTATGTTATTTGGAACCAGATGGGAAGAAGCACAGGAAACACTTGTGTAGGGGGACCAGGTGAGGATCAGAGACTGGGGAGGCAGGGGCTCTGAGGTGCCTCCCTCCAGCTTCCTGTGCAGTATAGGCCTCTGTCTGGGGCCCAGCCTTCTGTCTGTCTACATGGAGTTCCTCTGGATCAGTCATTCTAGGTGCTTCTACTGCTGCCTCTGTTTCCTATCTCCTGGCCTCCTTTGTTCATCTCTTTGTGTTTCTGCCTGTTCACACTACCCCACCCCCACCCCATCACAGGGACATTTGGAGGTACTTCCTACATGCCTGAGTGGGGCCCCTGGATGTGGGTCCTGAGGGACTGTGCCATCTACCTACCCAAGCTCACTTCTCTGTTCTCTGCAGAGAGCAAGGTACCATTCGTCACAAATCCAAGCCTGAAATCTAGGCTCCTTTTAGACTTCCTTCCTCTTCACCTCTGTCCTGATTCCCACCCCAGGGCAGCACACTGCCTCTTGCAGAGCTCAGGCTTGAGCCCCCATCTCTTATGGAAAGCCACAGCCTTCTCTTGTGGCCTCCCTGCTGGCCTTTAGGCCTCCAGTGTCTCCCCTACTTTTGTCATTCTTAGCCAAGTGGCAGGGGGGCCTTTGCAGGAAGTCTGGGCCTCCGAGCCATGTTTGCCTTGCTCATTCACTGTCTGGTGCCTCCCACCCCTGTCTGCCTACCTTTTCCTTTCATCAGTGTTCCCCTCCATTATGATCTGGATATAAATTGTGTGCGTGCGCACAATTCCCCTTCTTTTCTAGAGTATGATCTCTACAGCACACACAGCTAATGGGGGAGTCTGAGATTCTACCCATCCCTTTAGAGGGACAGAGGCAGCTTCCTACCTAGCAGACGGCAGCAAGGATGCAGATCCCTGGGGACCCTCCCCTCACTTCCCCCTTCATGGCTGCTGAGACTGGGCAGCATGCTAAATACAGGGAGCCAGCCTGTCCTTGCTGTGACCAGCCTGTACTTTCAGAGCGGGTAGGGCAGGGTTTGTCAGCTTTGTGGGGTAGGAAGTCCCCTGTGCCTACTCATACCTCTCACAGGTGTCATGGGAGAAGATGGGACATGCCCCCAGAAACCTACTCTATCACTTTGGCCTCAGCAGTTGCTGGGGCTCAGAAGAGCTTCAACCATGACCAGTGGGTCACAATGAGAAAACAAACATGGCCCAGGACAGATGACTTGTAAGGAGGTGGCTAGTCAGCTCTCTCTACTCCGCCATCCCCAGACCTTGCCTGTGCCTGACCAATTTGGAGCCAAGTTCCCTCTTTTTCTGCAGTTTCTCCTCAGTTACCCAGGTACCTGGGGAAGTACCCCACCCCTCTGCCACACAGGTACTTCCTCAAGAGATAGTTTTATTTTAACTTGTCAACTCTCCAAATCACTCCTTTGGGTCCAGTCTGTGCACAGGATGGAGACATGAGGACATCTGAAGCACACTCTACCTGGCAGGGGCCAAGTCTACCATAGGAAGGCTAACCTGCTGAGGCCCTCAGCGTTGGACCTGGCCTACATGGCACCCAAAAGCATGCTGGCTTTCTCAAGGGCTAGTGCTGGAATCTGCTACACCTGGCCCAGGTGTGGGAAGCCTGCCTACAGCCAGGTCTGTACATTAGAGAAGGGTACCATGTGGG